GTGTCATACCTCACAGCAACCTCAAACTCTTAGGCTCAAGCGATTGTCTTGCCTCAGCCTTCTGGGAATTTTTAGAGATGGTATCTCACTCTTGCTCAAGCTGGTCTCAAACTCCTGAGCTCAAGCAATCCACCTGCCTCAGCCTCCCAGAGTGCCAGGATTATAGGCGTGAGCCACTGCACCCGGCTTAAATGAATTTTTATTAACCTAGTATTCTGTGGCTTATTTTCAACCACATGACAGAAGACCCCCTTATTTTAACTCAAGCATTCCTTTCTATTGATTCCAAATCTTTAGATAAAGACCCTCTTTCAACCAGTTCCCCACTAAACAGTCACTAAAACCCACCTATGACTCCTCAGCCCTTGTTTGCTGTCTTACCTTTTCCAGCCAAACTAATGTATACCTTCTGTGTATTGATTTATGGTTTTACCTGTGATTACTATCTCCGATGAAAGTGTTAAACCAAGCTGTAATCAGGTACCTCAGTGTGTTTTCTAACCACCTCCCTGGGCCCCAGTCACACATACTCAGCTCAGAATAAACATCTCTATTTTACAGAATGTGGGTTTTTTTTTTACCATTAACACCCACAGATCCTCAATATTTGGAAGTTAGTCTCTTTTTTGCCCACCATGGCTCCTGCAAGCTGTGTGTGCAGCTATACCAGGAAAATACGCACAGTTGCCTGCCACAGAGCTGGAAATGGGGTATGGGTAGCTGCAAAGAGCAAAAATTGACCAAAATTAAACATAATTTGTCATCCAAATTATCTCTTGGAATTTGCTAGCCATTAGTAGCCTCTAGGGTTCCAAAATAGGTGAAGGGACTGGTGCTTCCTACTCCTCCATCTTCCCAGAATCCTCTCTTTCTACACTTTCTTTTGTAATATTTTCTTTCTCTTTCTCTCTCTCTCTCCCTTCCTTCCTTCCTTTCTCTCCTTTTCTTGAGACAGGGTCTCACTTTGTTCCCAGGCTGGAGTTCAGTGATGTCATCATAGCTTACTGCAGCCTCCAACTCCTGGGCTCAAGCAGTCCTCCTGAGTAGCTGGGATTACAGGTGTGCACCACCATAACTAGCTAATTTTTCATTTTTTTGGTACAGATATGATCTTGCTGTTTCCCAGGCTTGTCTCCAACTCCCGAGCTCAAGTGATCCTCCACCTCAGCCTCCCAGAGTACTAGGATTACAGGTGTGAACCACCATGCCTGGCCTCCAGGGGTTCATTACTCACATTTTTTGCTAGAGTCTGTGGATGGGCTCAGCTGTGACTGTCAACCACAGTCTAACGTGACCTTTCCAGTATGGAAGCCTCTGGGTAGTGGGACTCCTAACTCAATTCAGGACCAACAGTGTTCCAGTGAATGAGATGCAAACTACATGGCCTTTTACAACCTAGCCCCAGAAGTTATATATCATCATTTATAATTTACACAGTACTCTATTGGTCAACACAGCTGTCAGCCTATCCAGCTTCAAGAAGATGATCATAACACCACCTCTCAATGGGAGGAACATCAAAGAATTTCAGGTCATTTTTTTTGGCTTTTTTGAGACAGTCTCACTTTGTTGCCCTTGATAGAGTGCTATGGTGTCATAGCTCACAGCAACCTCAAACTCTTGGGCTTGAGTGATTCTCTTGCCTCAGCCTCTCAAGTACCTGGGACTACAGGCACTCACCACCATGCCCTGCTATTTATAGAGATGGAGTCTCGCTCTAGTTCAGGCTGTTCTTGAACTTGTGAGCTCAGGCAATCTACCTGCCTCGGCCTCCCAGAGTGCTGGGATTACTGGCATGAGTCACTGTGCCCAGCTTCATGTCATCCTTTAAAACTGATGCAGGTGGGATGTTCATCTTATGCTTATGTGTTTGTTTGTCATATATTTGTAAATATTTTTTCAGTTTATAATTTCCCTTTTGAACTTTTGTGGTATATATCATCTAGGCTCAAGAACTCCTAGGCTCAAGATTCACCAGCCTCAGCTGCCAGAGAAGGAGGGCTATAGCAGTGTGCCTTAGCACTTGGCACTAGAACAGGGATTTATCCACATAATCAGATTTATTAGTTTGATTAGCATGATTCCGAGAGAAAAATGAAACAAATTATAATTTTTTTGATACAGAGTCTCATATCATCCTAACTCAGCTGCAACCTCAAATTCCTGGGCTCAAGTGATCCTCCTGCCTCACCCTCCTGAGAAGCTGGGACTACAAATGTATGCCACCATGCCAGGCTAAGTTTTCCATTTTTTGTAGAGATGCCATATTGCTCTTGCTCCAGCTGGTCTCTAACTTCAGGCCTCAAGTGATCCTCCTGCCTTTGCCTCCCAGAGTGCTAGGATTACAGGAATGAGCCACCTGTGCCTGGCTTATAAATTTATATATACCTGTATATTTCTCTTTGTAATTGTATTAAATAATTTTTACATTATATTCATTATTATTGTTAGGCCGGGGCTGGGTTTGAACCTGCCACCTCCGGTATATGGGGCCAGCACCCTACTCCTTTGAGTCACAGGTGCCGCCCTATATTGCATATTATTAATAGCTTATGTGCTGAAATAGTGTGGTGGGGCAGTAGGTGAGAGATTATTGCTATAGTTCAAGCAAAAGACTTGAGGAAACCTGGACCAGGGTGGGCAAGAGTTAAAAGAGAATAGACCCAGCACCGTGGCTCATGGGCTGTAATTCTAGCACTCCAGAAGGCGAAGGGGAGTGGTCCCAGCTCCTGGGAGGCTGAAGCAGGAGGATCATTTGAATCTAAGAGTTTGAGTTTGCAGTGAGCTATGATAATGCCATTGCACTCCAGCTTGCCGCACAGAGCGAGACTCTTTCCAAACACAAAACAAAACAAACAAAAAACCCCAAACGAGTAGAAGAATCTTTGGTGATTTGCATTTACGATCCTAAAATTATAATAAATTATAAAAGCCAATTCAAGGCTAAGGATGCATTTAATTACTCTAACGCCTTCTCCGTGACATCTGGGTCTCTAGCACAAAGTCCTCCCTGTCCTACATAGTCACAGCTAACAACTTAAAACTTTCCACAACTGTCAGGGGAGTTTCTCGCAGTACACGTCTCCCTTTTCTCTAAGTATTATATCCCCCTCAAAAAAAAAAAAATCCTGAATGGTTTCAGTCTCTTTCAACGTAGACTCCACCCTTGCATATAAATTTTTAAAATTCAGTTTCCCTTCCTTTCCAAAGCAGCCAGGGGAAACTGGATCCGCGGCCACGTAGAAGCCTCTCACGGGCCCAAATCTGGAGTCTCTAGGGGACGGGTGGAGACCAGCGGAGGGGGGGACTAGGCGATAAACACTTTTCTCTTTCGACTTCGGTTAGAAGCCCGGTCCAGGGATTCGCGAGATCTAGCCCAGGACGGGTCTTCCCAGGCCCACCTAAGGTTCCCTTTCAAGTTGCTGGCCTCTCACCCCAGCCCACCCCGCCCCCGAGGCCGCCCTACACTGAGGGCCCGGCCCGGAGGCGCGGGGCGCGGCAGACCCGCCCCTGGCGCGCGGCCGGGCTCCTCCCCTTGTGGCCGGGGCCGGGGGGCGGGCAGCGGGGAGGGGGTGGCAGTTGCCTCCCGGAGGGCGAGGAGACTTTTCCACGTTGCAAAGGCCGCCACGCGCCCAGGCCGACCCGAGCTCTGCGCGGCGCCCACTGCTCCTCTCCACGTCGCTCCGATGGCGTTTGGGGTCCGGGGTTGGCGGTCCCCGCCTCCGCCGCTGCTCCTGCTGCTGCTCTGGGTGACCGGGCAGGCGGCTCCCGTGGCGGGCCTGGGCCTGGGATCCGACGCGGAGCTGCAGATTGAGCGGCGCTTCGTGCCCGACGAGTGCCCGCGGACTGTGCACAGCGGCGACTTCGTGCGCTACCACTACGTGGGGACTTTCCCCGACGGCCAGAAGTTCGACTCCAGGTACCGCGCCCGCTCTCCGGACAGGCCTTTCCCTCCCGCTGGACCTCCCCCAGCCCCGCCCCGCGGGCCCGCCCTCCTCCCTTCCTCCGGGCGGCGGCCCAGACGCCGGCGGACCCTAATCTAATCCTACCCTAGTGGGGTGAGACCCCGCCCCTCCAACGCCCTAGTCCACCTTTCCTGGACTAAAATTTTCAGTGGGTCCCCGCGCAGCGGAGTTGGGACTCATCGTGCCCTCCTTCTGCTCCCAGCGCGTTGACACACGCGTAGTCGGTGTAAAATGGCCACTTTTTATGCCAAGACCCCCAAGAGTGAATGTTGATGTCCACCGCCGCCTCCCCTCATTATTCTTTCCCCCGGTTCCCTTGAGTTTGTGGTCAGTGGATGCTTCTCACGTGGGATGATGATGATGTTGAAGTTGACAGTAGCAGCCGCTAACATTTTTTGAGCGGTTTCATTGCGGTAGGCGTAGTTCTAAGCCAGTTCTGTACAATAATGAACTCATTTAATCCTTACAGCAGTCCTATCGGGGGGTACTATTGTAACCCTCATTTTATCAGTGAGGGGACTGAGCCCAAAACAATCTTTAACACTATGGAGTCAGACTGAAACCCAAACCACCCAAGTGCAGGGTCCTGTGCGTGTAACTACCCCGCCCTGCTTTCCAGCCTTGGGAGGGAGGTGGTCGGGCAGTTACTCAGCTTTCCCCTGGGCCCTGAGCCTGGCCTGGGGTTCTTTCCCTCCACTCTACCACAAGATCACAACTTCTTTATCTGGTTTCTCCCCAGTTTTGCTTTGAGGTTAACAGACCTTTTTCCCTCCAGTTCCAGGCTGCTCTCCGCTCCGAGGTTTTTGTTACAATTCTTGGCCTGTGCCAGTATTTCTCCTAGTGAATCACTAGCCTAGAGAGCGGTTGGCTGAACCTCTGCTGTGTGCCCGAAGCTGTGCTAGGCTCATAAGACTTTGCAGCCTCCCTTGCCTTTTATGAAATTCCAGACAATGAGTAAATGTACAATAGCTAGTTAGCATAGTGTGTGGCACTAGCAAATGCTTAGAAATGGTTATCTTGGTCGGCGCCTGTGGCTCAAAGGAGTAGGGCAACGGCCCATATACTGGAGGTGGTGGGTTCAAACCTGGTCCGGGCCAAAAACTGCCAAAGAAAAGGAAATGGTCATCTCTATTTTTATTTACTGTAAAGTAAAATACTTTTATTTGCTGTAAAGTAAATAAAAATAGTATATATTAAATAAAAAATATTTACTTTACAGTTTTATTTATTGCTTATTTATTTATTTTTGCAGTTTTGGGCTGGGGCTGGGTTGGAACCCACCACCTCCAGCATATGGGGCTGGTGCCCTACTCCTTGAGCCACAGGCGCTGCCCTACTGCTTTTTTTTTTTTTTTTTTTACTAAATCATTGCTGTGTACATTAATGCAATCATGGGGTACCATGTGCTGGTTTTATATACAATTTGAAATATTGTTATCGTTTTTTTTTTTGAGACAGAGTCTCACTATGTTGCCCTGAGTAGAGTGCTGTGACTTTACAGCTCACGGCAACCTCAAACTTTGGGGCTTAAGTGATTCTCTTGCTTCAGCCTCCCAAGTAGCTGGGACTACGCGTACCCACCACAACATCCAGCTATTTTTCTGTTGCAGTTGTCATTGTTTCCTAGCTGGACTGGGCTGAGTTCGAACCTGCCAGCCTCCGTGTGCCTCCGTGTATGTGGCTGACACTGTAACCACTATGCTACAGGCGCTGAGCCTATATACTGATTTTTTAAAAAATGGCTTTATTCAGATATAATTCACATGCGGTACATTCACCCAATTAGAGTGTGCAGTTCAGTGGTTCTGAGTATATTCGTGGAGTTGTGTAAACATAGCAAGCTTTCCGTGCTGCACACGTGACCTCTTGAATCTAGCACCAAGGCTGGAGTAGATGTGTTCTCTCCCTCCTCCGCCTCCTCCCTCTCCATCTCTTCTTTCCTTCACTGCAATGTTCTCTCACTCTCCCATCTTCCTAGCAGATAACATAGTTTGCCAGCTCACAGTGCTTGCCATTCTTCCTTGCCATGGCACGTTAGCTACTGGCAGAGGTGGTGGTTTGAGGGAAATATTCTTGGGGACTGGGTCTGGGAAGCCCAAAATTACCTTTGGGGGTGTATGGTGTGGAGAGAGAGGTGAGAGATGGAAAAGTCAGACTCTGCTTGCCCCCTTAGAGTCTGCAGTTAGGTCTAGTCTTAGTAGTGGAACTCAGCCAGGGAGGGGGCTGGTCTCAGCTGGGCCTTCGGAAGCTCCATGGGAGAGAGGACGTGAGTTTTAGTCCCAATCACTAAGGGATGTAGTAGGACCATAGTCCTCACATCTAGCTGGTCCCATGTGAGTCAGTCATCTGGAGTGAGGACCAACTTTGAGGTACCCAAAATGTGGTTCCCATGCCCAGTAGGCTTGTTCCTCATTACCTTGTTACACTCCTATTCTCAAAATACAGCCCTCTTTTTAATGTTCAAAAGTGATGTCTTGGTGGGATGCTGTGGCTCATGCCTGTAATCCTAGCACTTTGGGAGGGCAAGGCAGGAGGATCACTTGAGACCAGGAGTTTAAGACCTCATCTCTACAATTTTTTTTAAAAAACTTAGCCGGGTGTGGTGGCATGAACCTGGAGTCCTAGCTAATCAGGAGGCTAAGGCAGGAGGATCACTTGAACCCAGGAGTTCGAGGTTGCAGTGAGCTGTGATGACACCATTGTACTCTGACCTGGGCAACAGAGTGAAACTCTGTCTCAAAAAAAAAGGAATGTCCTCAGTTTTTAATTATCTAAATTGAATCTAAAACTGGCATTTAGAGCATGCTAACTTTTCCTCTCTTAGCTGATCTGGGCTACAGTTCTGCTAACAGAACTGAAGGCCCATTTTCTCTTCTTTCTGTGATGGCCATTTTTTCCTTGTCTTGGGATCTGAGATAAGAATAATCTCAGCAACATAAGCAAGTAGCATAAGCATAAGTCAGGTATTGCAAATATTTAAAAAATTAATTTTAAGAAGTAATATATATGCACAGAGTTTTAAAAACTGGTTAGATAGGCTCGGCGCCTGTGGCTCAAGTGGCTAAGGCGCCAGCCACATACACCTAAGGTGGTGGGTTTGAATCCAGCCCGGACCCGCCAAACAATGACGGCTGCAACCAAAAAATAGCCGGGCGCTGTGGCAGGCGCCTGTGGTCCCAGCTACTTGGGAGGTGGAGGCAGGAGACTCACTTGAGCCCAGGAGTTGGAGGTTGCTGTGAGCTGTGAAGCCACCGCACGCTACCCAGGGGGATAGCCTGAGGCTCTGTCTCAAAAAAAAAAAAAAAAAAAAACTGGTTAGATAGTTTCATAAAGCTTGACATTATAGTTGCCAACCTGCTAGGAGTGAAGACAGTGTCCTGTCTTACAGGTCCTTGGGTCCATAATTTTGCATCATAAGAGGTTGCTGCAGACACCTCCCATCACCCCCATGGGGGTGGCCATCAAAGTGTCTGAGCAGGAGACAAAAATAAGTTTGTGGAGAGGAAAGGAGGGTGTTGGATATGCTGGATGATTTCCATTTGCCTTTCTAGGTCCATTCTCCACCTATTCTGCTTTTCGCTCTGGGAGGCCAACCTATGTACTACATGTGCGTAGTGAGTTATATCAGTCACGTCCTTCTTGTCTGGTTTTGGTTGGGTTCAGCCAATGGGGCATCAGCAGATCAGAGGAACAGAACAGAGTGAGGTGGAGATATTTATTCCCCGGCTCTCTGCCTAGGGTGACCAGACGTCCCGCTTTTCAACAATTTGTGCTGCGTCCTGTGGCGTTTTAAAAAAAGTCCCGATTTTTGGAAAGAATGCACAAACGGGCGGGAGAACAAGAAGGGAATATACGGTTTTCGGCTGCCATGTGGCTATTTCGCCAGAATATGAGTTTTATATTATTTTTGTTAATTTTATAATGTTAAACTGTAATAATGACAAATAATTGCTGAGAAGTGATTATCGAGAACGGCTTATCAAAATTTGCATTGTTGTCAGGCCCTGCCCTGCCCCGTCCCCCGCCCCGCCCCCAGCCATGTTGTCCCGCCTTACCGATGTTAAAATCTGGTCACCCTATCTCTGCCTCTAAGGTCACCACAGATTCTATCTATCCCTAGACCAAGAACCTGTCAAGAAACCTAGCTGCCTTCTCAGGTTCAGATGTGATAACAGCACCCCCTGCCCATCCCTAGAGGTACTACACCATTCCTTGTGTGCTGCAGCACCTGGCATGTACCTTTGCACCGGCCATGTTATTGTTATTTTTGTAAGCAACTACCATAAATCCTTTCATGGGTCATAAGTGTGATGGTTGGTTTTTCTTGTACCTGTCTGAGATGTGCCTCCCTCAGATCTTGTTACAGTGTTGGCATATTACCTGACATTAAAAAAAAAAAAGGTATTTTACCATCTTAACCATTTTAGAGTAGTTAACTCCAAAATCTACATTGGTGTGCAATAGATTTCTCCTTCACTTCCTCTTCATCTTCTCTTCTCAGAATCTCATTCTGTTGCCCAGGCCAGAGTGTCATCAGCCTAGCTCATAGCAACCTCAAACTCCTGGGCTCAAGCGATCCTCCTGCCTCAGCCTCCTCAGTACTTGGGCTAGAGGCACCTGCCACAATACCCAGCTAATTTTTTAATTTTTAATAGAGATGGGGTCTCACTGTGTTGCTCAGACTGGTCTCAAACTCCTGAGCTCAAGTGATCCTCCTGCTTTGGCTTTCCACAGTGCTAGGATTATAGGCCTGAGCTACCTCATCCAGCCTGTGCAACAGATTTCTAAGATTTTTTCATCGTGAGAAACTGAAACTTGGTCGGTCTAAAGGTAGTGAGTTATCTCAACTGATTGCTCACAGTCAATTACAGATCAAACTCATTGTTCAACACTTTCCCCCCTTCTCACTACAGCACTTGTCTAGTCTAAAAAAGAAAAAAGCATTAGACAATTCATCCAAGTAACCAGAACACTTGCACCCCTAATATTTCAAAATAAAAGAAAAACCTGAAATTTTTTTGCAGTTTTTGGCCGAGGCCATGTTTGAACCTGCCACCTCCGGTGTATGGGGCTGGCACCCTACTCCTTTGAGCCACAGGCACTGCCCAAAAAACCTGAAATTTTATCCTAATGACCAGCTCCTCCATATTTCTCCTTCTCTTATCCCCTCATAACCACATTCTACATTCTGCCTTTATGAGTTTGACTATATATTTGTCTTTTGATAACTGGCTTATTTTACTTAACGTAATGTCCTTAAGTTTCATCCATGTGGTAGAATGTGTTAGGGTTTCTTTCTTTTTAAGATTATGTACTATATCACAGTTTTTTTTTCTTTTTTTTGAAACAGAGCCTTACTCTGTTGCCTGGGCCATGAGGCCTCTGCTATGGCTGCAGCCTAGTTCACCATACCTCAAACTCTTGGGCTCAAACAATCCTCCTGCTTCAGCCTCCCAAGTAGCTGGAACTACAGAAATGCTACCACACCTGGCTGATTTTTCTATTTTCAGTAGAGATGGGGTATTGCTGTGTCAGGTTGGCCTCAAACTCCTGAGCTCAAGCCTTGGCCTCCCAGAGTGCTGGGATTACAGGCATGAGCCACATGCCTACCCCCATTTTTTTTTTTTTATATATATCTATTCATTTGTCAGTGGACATTTAGGTTGCTTCTACTTTTTGGTTATTGTGAATCATGCCGCACTGAACATGTGTGTTCAAGTATCTCTTTGAGAGTCTTCTTTTAGTTTGTTTGGATACATATCAAGAAGTAGGATTGCTGGATCATATGGTGCTTCAATTTTTAATTTTTTGAGAACCTAAATACTGTTTTCCATTAATAGATGTACCATTTTCCATTCCCACCAACAGTGCACAAAGGTTCAGTTTCTCCACATCCTCACCAACATTGGTTATTTTCTGGTTCTTGGATAGTGGCCATCCTAATGGGTGTGAAGTCATATGTTTCATTGTGATTTTGACTTGCATTTCTCTGGTGATTAATGACATTGAGTATCTTTTTATATGCTTGTTGGCCGTTTGTATATCTTGAAATGTCCATTCAAATCCTTTGATCATTTTTTAATTGGGATTTTGTTGTTGTCATTGCTGTTGTTGTTGAGTTGTAGAAGTTCTTTATGTGTTCTGGATATTAAACACTTGTCAGACATATGATTTGCAAATATTTTCCCCATTCGTAGGTTGCCTTTTCACTCTGTTGATTGTTTTCTTTGCTGCTGTGAAGTTTCAAAGTTGGATATAGTCCTATTTTTCTGTTTCTGCTTTGGTTGCCTGTGCTTTTGGTGTCATATCTGAGAAATCATTGTCAAATGCAATATCATGAAGCTTTTTCTCTATGCCTTTTTCTGGGAGTTCTATAGTTTCAGATTTTACATTTATGTCTTTAATCCATTTGGAATTGATTGCTTTATATGGTATAAGATAAGGATCCAATTTTTGCATATGGATGTCCAGTTTTCCCAGCAACATTTTTTTTTTTTTTTTGCAGTTTTTTTGGCCGGGCCTGGGTTTGAACCTGCCACTGTTGGCATATGGAGCCAGTGCCCTACTCCTTGAGCCACAGGCACCACCCCCAGCACCATTTATTGAAGAGACTATCCTTTCCTCACTCTGTAGTCTTGGTGGACTTCTCAAAGATCATTTGACCATATATGAAAGGGTTTTATTCCTGGGTTTGGCATTCTGTTTCCTTGGCCCATGTCTGTATTTGGCACAGTACCATGCTGTTTTGATTGCTATAGCTTTGTGATATGTTTCCAAGTAGGGATGTTTGAGGCCTCCAGCTTTGTTCTTCTTTCTCAGGATTATTTTGATTATTTGGAGTCTTCTGAGATTCCATATGAATTTTAGGATTTTTTTTTCCTACTCCTGCAAAAAATGCCATTTTTTTTTTTTTTTAAAAGAGATAGGGTATCACTATGTTACACAGGCTGGACTCAAATTCCTGGGCTCAGCAATCTTCCTGCTTCAGTCTCCCAAGTAGCATCATTGGGATTTTGATAGGAATTTCATTGAATCTGTAGATCACTTTGAGTAACCTGCACATCTTAACAATATTAACTCTTCTACACCATGAACATAAAATGTCTTTATATTTTTATTTGTGTTCTTTTAAATTTCTTTCAGCAATACTTTTTTAGTTTTTGGTATACAAATTTTTTGCCTCCTTGGTTAAGTTTATTTCTAAACATTTTATTCTTTTTGATGTTATTTTAAATAGGAGTCTTCTCTTAATTTCCTTTTCAGATTGTTGACTATTTAGTGTATAGAAATGCAACTTATTATTATTATTATTTTTGAGACAGAGCCTCAAGCTATCACCCTGGGTAGAGTGCTGTGACATCACAGTTCACAGCAACCTCCAACTCCCGGGCCCAAGCGAGTCTCCTGCCTCCATCTCCCAAGTAGCTGGTACTATAGGCACCTTCCACAATACCTGGCTCTTTTTTGGTTGTAGTGGTCATTGTTGTTTTGTAGGCCTGGGCTGGATTTGAACCCGCTAGCTTAGGGATATGTGGCTGGCACCTTAGCTGCTTGAGCCACAGGCACTGAGCCACGACTTATTTTTTTGTCTGTTGATTTTATATCCTGCAACTTTGCCAAATTTGATTATTAATTCTAAAAAAAAATTTTTTTGTGGACTCTTGTGGAGTTTTCTACATGTAAGATTTCATTTCATCTGTGAACAGAGATATTTTTACTTCTCATTTTCCAATTTGTGTGCCTTGTATTTTTTTTTCTTGCTTAATTGCCCTGGCAGGGAGTTCTAGAAGTATATTAAATAGAAGTAGTTAGATCAGACTTCCTTTCCTCTTTCCTGATCATAGGGAAAAAGCTTTTATTTAGTTTTTTACCATTGAGTATGATAGCTTAGCTGTGCACAGCCCCTTTATTAAACTTTCCTGGAACAGCCTACTTTGGGTATGTCAGGTGTTTCCTGCAGGACTCTGAATAGGATGCCTATAAAAGGTGTAAATAAGCCAGATACTAGGACAGGCTGTACAAGCACTTATTCCAGAGTTTGCAGAAATAATTTTCATGACCAGTTCTGGGCTTGATGTGGCCTATGAATTTGTGCCATTTTGCTGGTTAGAACAATTTTATTTTTCCAGATGGTCCATTTGATGCAATAGATAAGACTGGTCTTACATTGTTAGTTTCTTGTATAAATGTATACATTTCTTTCAGAAAGTTCTTTTTTTTTTTTGCTTTTAACTCTTTGATGTGTATTCACAGGGTTTATGCAGTCATTAAATAAAAAAATTAATACTGCGAGGCAACAACAGCTTTTTTTTTTTTTTGACACAGTCTCATTTTGTCACCCTCAGTAGAATACCTGGCATCGTAGCTCGCAGCAACCTGGAACTCTGAGGCTCAGCAAGTCTCTTGCCTCGTCCTCCCAAGTAGGTGGGACTACAGGCACCTGTCCCAGTGCCTGGCAATTTTTAGAGAAGGGGGAGGGGTGTGCCACTCTAGCTCAGGCTGGTCTTGAACTTGTGAGCTCAGGCAACCACCTGCCTGGGCCTCCCAGAGTGCTGGGATTACAGGTATGAGCCACTGCACTCACCAACAACAACTTTTTTTTTTTTTTGAGACAGAGACTCACTATGTCGCCCTGGGTAGAGCACCGTGGCGTCACAGCTCATACCAACCTCCAACTCTTGGGTTTAAGCGGTTCTCTTGCCGTAGCCTCCCAAGTAGCTGAGATTACAGGCACTAGCCACCATGCCTGGCTATTTTTTTGTTGCAGTTGTCATTGTTTAGCTGGCCTGGGCTGGGTTTGAACCCGCCAGCCTCGGTGTATGTGTCTGGCGCTGACAACACCACCGCTGGGGAAGCCCTGTGCCTGGAGGGTGAGAATCAGTCCTGGGTTCTAGCATTTTTTCACACTTGGCTAAGTTCATGAGTTTGGGAAGTTTTTAACCTCCAAGGAACCTGAGTATCATAGCACTCAGGTTCATAGCACTAAACTTCCAAGTTTAATCCTTCCAAGAGAATTAAATGAGGTAGTGTATGTGAAGAGCTTAGTTTGTTACTGGGCCAGATGCATAATAAACACTATAAATATTAGTTATTGTTAAAAACTTTTATTAAATTTGGGAGCTATATTAGGTTCTGTGGATAAAAAATTTTTTAAAAATAGTTTCTTATCTGTGAATTTTTGCTGTTTGCACATGTTCTGTGCTTTGGTAGTCTTTGAATGCTTTCTTTCTGGTCCATTTATCAACCCTCCGGTTTGAAGATGGCCCCATGCCATGGCTAGGCCCGAGCTGAGTGAAATTCAAGAGTGGGCATTCCAGGGGGTGGTGTTGGGGGCCCGGAGGTAGAGGGTGGAAGTGTAAAGCTGTCTTGGGTACAAAGCTGATCATGTGCTTTTGTCCTCTGGCTCTTTGGCTGGAACTTGAAATCCTGCCTCCTGTTCACTGACCTTGAAGAAAAGAAGGCTATGAAAATAGGCTATGAAACTAGGAGGAGAAAGGGAAGGGGGGCAGGCCTGGGAAAACTGCCCTGATGGACCAGATGAAGTGGACTCTGCTGCTAGCCTATGCTGTTCATTAGGGAAAATGAAAAGACAGTGAAAGTGATTTACAAAACGAAGGTGGCACCTCTGATAAAGTAAATCCTAGCAGCTCTTAACATTTTATTACCTAAGTAAATACATGATCATTTTAAAAAGTAAGAGAATTACTAGCCAGGCATTGTGGTGCTGCTTGTAGTCCTAGCAACACGGGGGAGCTGAAGTGAAGCAAGAGGACTGCTTGAGCCCAGGAGTTTGAGGTTGCTGTGAGCTACAGTGATGCCACTGTGGCAACAGAGTGAGACTCTTAAAAAAAATACTGGGCAGCACCTGTGGCTCAAAGGAGTAGGGCGCTGGCCCCATATACTGGTAGTGGTGGGTTCAAACCTGGCCCCGGCCAAAAACTGCAAAAAAAAAAATTAACTGTTTGTATGTTAAATCGGGCCATTGGTACCTATGATATTGCTTTTATTTACCAATCACATAGAAAATGAAGTAAACTTTTTTTTTTAGTAGAAGAATAAGTAGCTATTTTGCAAGGCGAAGTTAACATTTTATTTTTCTAGGGAGAGTTCATGCTTATACTTACCTTACTAGATGTGTTGGTCATATTCAAGGTAATCTAAAAATTCCGAGCCCACAGGTACTGTCCAGTGAAGATACTCCTGTAGCTGGAACTCCTTAGCAGGTGTTTTGCTTTGCTGGCAGCTTGTTACATCCACGAGCACATTTTCACAGGTTCATTTCACTAAGAAAAGGGCTATTTATACTTGTCTTTTTCTCTCTTTTGGGTCTTCCAGCTATGACAGAGACTCTACTTTCAACGTGTTTGTGGGAAAAGGACAGCTAATAACAGGGATGGACCAAGCTCTGATCGGGATGTGCGTGAATGAGAGGCGTTTTGTGAAGATTCCCCCAAAGCTTGCCTATGGAAACGAAGGCGTTTGTAAGTTCTTGTTCTGTATTTATATGCGCAGCTACAGAAACAACCAGAACATTTGTAGACCGTTCAGTCAAGCAGACCTGAGAATGTTGGAAGCTTTAGATTGGGGGAAATGAAAAGTAATTAGCTCATATAGCTGAAATTTCCATCTTAGGGTTCTATTTTTCTAGATATGAGAGTTGTTAACACGAATGCATTGAATGATGCCCTTGATGAGAGGACAATTTTGTATTTTCTCTTTTCTTTTAATTTCCTTTGGAGGACAGACAGGAAGCATGAGTTATTTTGGAATTGTATACCAGTGACTGGCTTGAACCCTTTTAGATTCCATTCACCTTGGCTATGTCCTAGGTGTTTGACCCAAAAGGCAGTAATTGTGAACTCAGTGTGAACTCTCTTTAACTTCTAGCTGGTGTGATCCCCCCAAATTCAGTGCTTCATTTTGATGTACTTCTGATGGATATTTGGAATTCTGAAGACCAGGTTCAGATTCACACTTATTTTAAGCCCCCTAGCTGCCCTCGGACCATCCAGGTGTCTGATTTTGTGAGGTACCACTACAATGGAACGTTCCTGGATGGGACCCTGTTTGATTCGAGGTAAGTCCTGCCACTCGAGGCAGTATCAGTGAAATGGCCCTGAGTTGCTTTCTTCTGTCTCACTTACTTGTGCCCGGGTAGAAACCAGAAAAGGAGTTTCTACCCCTCTACTTCAGACCTTTGGTCAATAGTGCATGCTCCATGGTGCCATGGTCAAAATTTTAATCTATCTCAGGAGATTTTAAAGAATTTTTTCTTTTCTTTTCTTTTTTCAGATACAGGGTCTTGCTTTGTTGCCCAGGCTGGAGTACAGTTATGTATGTGATCATAGCTCACTGTGACCTCAAACTCCTGGGCTCAAACAATCCTCCCACCTCAGCCTCTCAGCCTCCTGAGTAGCTGGGTTTATAGTTGCATGCTACCATAATGTACCATATAGGTGCATGCTGGATAATTTTTCTATTTGTTATAGAAACAGGGTCTTGCTGTGTTGCCCAGGCTTGTCTCAAACTCCTGGTATTGAGCAATCCCTTGTCTTGGCCTCCCAAAGAGCTAGGATTATAGGCATGAGCCACTCCTCCCAGTCCATCTGAGAAAAATTTAAGAGCAATGATTATCTATCTAATTTAACAGTGTTTGGAGATCTCATCATTAAGTGAAGGGCCCTAAGTACATGCTTTTCATTTCTTCCTAAATGTGAGGAGTTCTGTTGTGTATTTGGGGCAAAGATCCATGAATGCTTGTCTTTAAGAATGGGTATGGGCTTAATGTTTAGCTTAGGTTCAGGTAACAAAACCTTACTGAAAGGTGAGTTGGAACCAACTCATAGGATGGTACTTTCTCCTTTCTCATTGGTTTTCAGTCACAATCGCATGAAAACGTATGACACGTATGTGGGAATTGGTTGGCTGATTCCTGGAATGGACACGGGGCTGCTGGGCATGTGTGTGGGGGAAAAGCGCATCATCACCATTCCTCCTTTCCTGGCCTACGGCGAAGATGGAGACGGTGAGTCCTGCTCTTTCTCAGAGCCATTCTCATGCAGCCTTATTTTACTGCAGTGATTAATTCAGCAGTCACCACGCAAAACACACCAGACCTTTTGGTCTAGACTTGCACTGTCTAATGTGGTAACCACTAGCTACATGTGGCTATTTACATTTAAATGAAAACTAATGAACATTTTATTTTATTTATTTATTTGAGACAGAGTCTCACTATGTCACCCTTGATAGAGTGCCGTGACATTACAGCTTATAGCAACCTCAAACTCTTGGGCTTAAGCGATTCTCTTGCCTCAGCCTCCCAAGTACCTAGCTGGGATTACAGGGCCCGCCACTACACCCGGCTATTTGATTGGCTGTCTAGCCACTTAGCTATAGGGACCAAGCCTATTCATTTTATTTTATTTATTTATTTTATTGAGACACAGTCTTACTTTGTTGCCCTTGGTATAGTGCCATAGCATCATAGCTCACAGCAACCTCATATTCTTGGGCTCAAGTGATTCTCTTACCTCAGCCTTCCCAGTAGCTGGGACTACAGGCGCCCACCACAGTGCCTGGCTATTTTTAGAGCCAGGATCTTGCTCTTGCTTAGGCTGGTCTTGAACCTGCAAACTCAGGCAGGTTCACTCGCCTCGGCCTCCCAGAGTGCTAGGATTACAGGCATGAGCCACTGCACCCAGCCAAAAATGAATGAACATTTAAATAAAATTTAAGGCAGGCCCAGTGGTTTATGCCTTATAATCCTAGCACTCTGGGAGGTCAAGGTATTGTGGCAGGGGCCTGTAGTTCCAGCCACTCGTGAGGCTGAGGCATGAGGATTGCTTGAACCCAGGAGTTTGAGATTGCTATGAGCTAGACTGACACTACAGTATTCTAGCCTGGGCAAGAGAGTGAGACTGTCTCAAAAAAAAAAAAAAATCTCTATCTATATATACACACACACACACACATATATATTTATATGCATGTAAAATTTAAAATTTAGTTCCTCGGCTACCACGTCTCAGGTACTCAAGAGCCACATGTTGCTGAGGTCTGCTCTACTGGACAGTGCACAGCATTTCCATCACTGCTGTTGGACAGCACTCATCTGATGATGGAGTTCCAGAAACTTCCCTGACTCACGGTCGGTGGTGTTCATAAGGAAGCCCTCTGCTTCTGCCGTACCAGCTATGGCCTTGGGCACCAACCTGTGTTGCTTTCTCATGAAATGAAATGAGATTTGAACCTGACCATCTAAAAGCTGCAGACATCAAGGCAGAAATCTACCCATATGATGCCAGAATTGCCAAAGTTATCCCGATTTGTACCTCTGTGATGGGTTCTACTTACGGACAAAAGCGAAGCATACTGTTAGAAAATACATTAATTGGGTGTGGTGTGGTGGTTCTTGCCCATAGTCTCAGCACTTTGGGAGGCTGAGATGGGAGGATTGCTTGAGGCCAGGAATTCAGGACCAGCCTGAGCAACATAGCGAGGGCCTGTTTTTTTTAAAAAAAAAAAAAAAAAAAGAAAAGAAACACATTAATTATAATTTAGTGTCCTGTTTGTAGTTTTACTGTAAAGGGAAACAGAGTATTGGCTGATAAACAGAATTTCTTAGTTACTCATGTTTGCATTTCAGGCATGTTTAATCATACCGACAGGCTGACACAACAAAGAGACCTCCAGGCGTTTAAATAGCATATTATAGTCATGTGTCACTTGACTACAGGGATACATTCTGGGAACTATGTTGTTAGGGGATTGTGATTTTGTTATATCAAAACATCATAAGTAGGGTAGCACCTGTGGCTCAAAGGAGTAGGAGGTGGTGGGTTCAAACCTAGCCCAGGCCAAAACTGCAAACAAACAAACAAACAAAAAAACCATCATAAGTGTGCTTACACAAACCTACATGGTACAGCTAGGCTGTAAGGAGTAGCCTGTTGCTTCCTGGCTACACACCTGCACGGCGTGTTACTGTACTGACTACTCTAGGCAGTTTAACGTAATGGTAAATATTTGTACATCTAAATATGTCTAAACATAGGAAAAGTACAATACAATACAGTATGAGAATCTTATGGGACCATCATTGTATGTGCAGTCTCTGGTGCATGACTGCTTATGGTTAGGGCTGGGTGTGGTGGCTCACACCTGTCATCTTAGCACTCTGGGAGGCCAAGGCAGGAGGATTGCTTCAGCTCAGGAGTTCAAGAGCAGCCTGAGCATGAAAGAGATCCCTAAAAATAGAAAAACTAGCTGGGCAAGGTGGTGGGTGCCTACAGTCCCAGATACTTGAGAGGCTGAGGCCAGAGGAATGCTCAAGCCCAAAAGTTTGAGGTTGCTATGAGCTATGACACAATGGCACTCTACCCAGGGTGACAGAATGAGACTCTGTCTCAAAAAAAAAAAAAAAATATATATATATATATATACATATATGCATAAAAATGAGAACATGATGCTATTAAGAAGTTTACTGATAGTGATACCCACCTTATAATAATAACTTGTAATAACCAGCATTATGTTTTCTGGTCTGTTTCCTTGCTCTGTAAGTCTTCAGAGCAGGAGAGGGGAGCTGGGTGGCCTTGTCTCCTGTGCACCTCTATTTTTATATGGGGTATATTTTACATGCTGGGGATGTCCAGACAGTTTCTTAAAAAGCAGGGAGGGAGGGTGGAATTCCCTCCTAAAAGAAAAATAAAGTTTAAAAACCACTGCTTTAAATACATCTTAGTTCTCTCCTCCTTGAGATATAAGTTACTATTCTTACTGGGGTTCATATTTTCTTATCCTTGGCAACAGTAAGCTCATTCATTCACCTTGGCCCCCACATCCTTGTGGCATCATCCAAGCCTTTTTTTGGGGAGGGGGACAGAGTCTCACTATGTCTGAGTCTCACAGAGTAGTGTGACGTCACAGCTCACAGCAACCTCAAATTCTTGGGCTTAGGCCATTCTCTTGCCTCAGCCTCCCAAGCTGGGAATACAGGCACCTGCCACAACGCCCCACTATTTTTTGGTTTCAGTTGTCACTGTTGTTTAGCAGGCCCAGGCTGGGCTTGAACCTGCCAGTCTTGGTGTATGTGGCCAGTGCCCTACTCACTGAGCTATGGGCACTGAGCCAATTTTTTTTTTCTTTTTCTGAGACAGAGTCTCATTCTGTTGCCCTAGGTAGGGTACCATGGTGTCATCATATCTCTCAGCAACCTCAAACTCTTGGGCTCAGGAGGTCCTCTTGCCTCAGCTTCCTGAGTAGCTGGGACTACCAGCGCCTACCATAGTGCCTGCTATTTTTAGAGACTAGGTCTCACTCTTGCTTAGGCTGGTTTCAAACTCCTGAGCTCAGGTCATCTACTTGCCTCAGCCCCCCAGAGAGCTAAGATTACAGGCATGAGCCACTGCACCCAGCCTATTTATTTATTTATTCTTGAGACAGAGTCTCTGCCACCATGGGTAGAGTACTATGGTGTCAGCATAGCTCTTAGCAACGTCAAACTCTTGGACTAAGCAATCTTCTAATCTCAGCCTAGTACAACTCCCAGCTAATTTTTCTCTTTTAGTAGAGACCAGGTCTTGCTCTTGCTTAGGCTAGTCCTAAACTTGTGAGCTCAAGTGATCCTCTTGCCTCAGCCTCTCAGAGTGCCAGGAATACAGGTGTGAGCCACCATGCCTGATTTAGTGCTAGAAAAATTTAAATCCTGGGTTACTTTCACGGCTTTCTTTTCTTCTTTTAAATTAAAAGATATAGAAAAGTACAAAAGATTAATATTTTGTCTTACACATGCTTCAGGATTGACCACACCTTGCATTCCAGAGGCTGACTCAGTAGCCTGCTTTTGGTAGATTTAATCATTTCTCTGAAGGGAGACCCAAGGGATGGACTCTGCCACAGGACCATTTACAGGAGCTCAGGCTGGGCGTGTTGTTGGGCTCCCTTGCCCAGGCCTGCTCCTTTGCATGGAACAGCAAATGGCAAGCCAAGAGTGTTAAGGTAGTTGGTTTGTGAGTTAATTTCCTTTTATGTCAAATCACTGGATTTAAGAGTTACTTATTTGTTGATGTTTTATCTTTATAGGAAGAATGAGTGCCCTATAATCTCTCCAAGTGGATTTTATTTTGCACATATTTAATACATTCTCACTATCAGGAACATCCAAGAGAAGCCAGTACCACTGAGAAATGAGATAGAAATAATTTGAGGAGTATTTACATTTTGGATTGTGGGTGCCATTTTTTCTGTTATCTCAGCCAACTTTCATTTTATTTATATCTTGTTTTGGATACACTTAAAGGATTGAATTTTGCATTTGGCCTCTTAAAAATATTGACTGTTGGTTCCAAACAAGAAGTCTGTGTGCAGTTCTCCAGAACCAGACCAGAGCTTTGGAATTTGTGCCTTTAAGTGTCTGTGATTTGCGTTTGTACACAAGCAGAAACCCACAGAGGCATGTATTTGGGTTTGCGTGTGGGTGTATGACCACCCACATAGAGCTTGGATTTTCCAGCATGAGCACAAACATGGTCGTGTTATGCTCTTATGTCATTAATATCAGTTTGCTTTTTGTCCTGAGTAAGTCAGGCTTTAGATTATATCCACGAGCCCATGGTTGGACACTGTGGAGGATCCACCCAAGACCTGGGGAACATTTGTTTTCTTTGCTTAACAACTTCCAGGAATGAGTAACACCAACCCAGAAGGTATTGCATTGTGAAGTATTTCCTAAAGCTTGTGTTTTAATTTAACCATCTTCCTCCATTCCATTCCAGGGAAAGACATTCCTGGACAGGCCTCTCTGGTGTTTGATGTTGTGTTATTGGACCTCCATAACCCCAAGGACAGCATTTCCATTGAGAACAAGGTGATACCTGAAAACTGTGAGCGGATAAGTCAGAGTGGGGACTTTCTCAGATATCACTACAATGGCACACTTCTGGATGGCACCTTATTTGATTCCAGGTATGGAAACAACTGGAGCTTTTAGTCACCTGAGTATCTCATTAGATAAAGTCTTTCATTAGCTGGACCATGATCTACGTACCCTGTCAGTACTGATTTATAGTTAATATCTTCATCTCTAATACAAGTTTTTGTTTTCTGTTACTGGGTTTCTTCCTAGCTGTATAACAATCCCTCTCTTGGGGGCTATTTTAGGTAAGTCTGTAGGAAAGTGGGAGAAGCTCACTCTAGACTCCCTTCCCTCCCTCTACTGTTCTTAGCTGTCCATGTCTCAACCCAAAGATGGGGTCCGAGAAGGGGAGTGGCCTGCAGTGAGGTCAAGGAGGTATATTGGGCAGAGAAAGGGCTTGGTGCCAAGAGACCTGGGTTCCAGTCCCTGTCTGCGGTGCACTAGCTGTGGGTCTTTGGACAGCATAGAAGTTTTGGAAGCAAAACTTCTGTTTTTTGTCTGTCCCAGCACCTTTCTCAAAGAAATAGTTGGATTAAAGAGATAAGCTATGTAAAGGCACCTTGCCAACTCCAAGGGCTGATCAACTGGAGGGGACTGGTTGGATGCATTCAGCTTCCTTCCGGAAGAAAATAATTACTATGCCTCTTTTGTTATTGAGAGTTTTGTTTTGTTTATCAGACAGGCCTGCAGTTGTACAGATGGCTAGAGTTTGGTATGTCTTGCTCATTCAAGTGGCATGTGTTGTTTGGAAACTATTCCTTTGGCTTCCTGTAAAGCCAACAAGTATCGACAGCAACCTCCCCACCTCTCTGAGGTGATAGACTTCTGGTCTGTTAGTCATCCAAAAACATTACGGAAGAATTTGTGTATAATATTCTTCAATCTGAATAATTCATTCTTCCGACTCCTAGTGTCTGCATTTTCTTTCACATTTTTTATTTTCAATTTTTTTAGAAGAAAATAAATCATACGGCTCAAAATCGAAGCAAAGTATACGTTCAGGTGTGTTGTCCTCCGGTCCCTGTCTACCTCACCCCTCCCTCATGCCTGAGAGTTTACCATTTTTATTAGTTTCTGTTTTATTTTCCCAATGTGTAGATTTTTTAAAAATGCAGATATAGGGCGGCACCTGTGGCTTAGTGAGTAGGATGCCGGCCCCATATACTGAGGGTGTCGAGTTCAAACCTGGCCCTGGCCAAATTGCAACAAAAAAGTAGCCGGGTGTTGTGGCGGGTACCTGTAGTCCCAGCTACTTGGGAGGCAGAGGCAAAAGAATCACTTTAGCCCAGGAGTTAGACGTTGCTGTGAGCTGTGATGCCACTGCACTCTACCCAAGGCAACAGCTTGAGGCTCTGTCTCAAAAATAAATAAATAAATAAAGGAAAGCAGGTCCAGTTGCCTGATTTTCTAGCACCCAAAGGCCACTCTTTTTTTGTTTGTTTGTTGTTTTTTGAGATAGTCTTACCATTGTCGCCCTCTATAGAGTACTGTAGCATCATAGCTCACAGCAACCTCAAATTCTTGGGCTTAAGGGATTCTCTTGCCTTAGCCTCCTGAGTAGCTGGGACTACAGGCACCTGCCACAACTCCTGGCTATAAAATATTCTTATAAATAAAATATTCTTTTGACTTGGATATACTGACAGTACAAAAATATGTTTAAATTTGCCTTGCAATTTGAGCTAAAATATTCACTCTCTGAACCTTGAAGACCTTTGCTTCTATTTTTCAAAAACAAAATATTCTGAAAAAGAAAATTTGTAAAAATCAGTGCCACATTTGCCTTGCTTTTTCATGCTCCTAATACCCAAGAGGTAGTAAATCACAAGAGCAAGTTTAGCAAGTATTCTCTGCAGGTCTCAAGTGAAATATTGAGAGGCTCTCTACTTGACCTTGTTCTTTTGAACATTTGGGTTGCTCCTGGCAAGGCACTGGGCACAGGAAGACTGGAATAATGAAATAAGGGCTGTAGGTAGGACTGGAGAGGTTTCAGTACCCAATGTGCAGTGTCCATGAGTCATGAGCACTCTGCGATCAAGGCCAAATCAAAGTCAAAGCCAGAGTCCGTGCTGAAGGCACTCTAGCCTCTTCCTCTTCTCCCAGAGTGCTTAATAAGGAAGATTCCAGTCATAACCGTATAATAAGGACTGGAGGAGAGCAAAAACTAAGAAAATACATAAAATAAATGGTATACAAGGGCTGCAGATATTGAACTGGAGTAATTGCAAAAAAATTATTCAACACACCCTAATTAGTCACACATGTCTTAGTACACTTAGTGTGCTTTGATTTTTACGTTTTATATTATATAAATAAACTCTTTAAGCAGGGACGGTATCATCTAATGCTTGTCAGTTCATACTCCATAAAAATTTGTTAAATTTAGTTCATTTTATAGTGTGAGTAGATAAAATTTTGGCAGGTGATTTTCAGTATGGATGAGTATAATATAAAAATGAAATAATTCAAATTATATTCATAATAAATAATCCAAATTATATTTACTTATTGTATGCTAACTCTAAGTTAGCAGTTAAAAGTCAGAAAGCAACATTATTGATATATAGACAATTTTCTGAGTATATTGGCCCAGTGCTCTACAACAGACAAAAATGTCAACAAAATATCAGATGTTATCAATTAGTGTATGGTGTACTATAATTTGCACATTATCCTCAGGCAAACAATGAAAATTTACCCATTTTAGAATTTTTGTGACTGTTACAGTATAAGAAAAACAAAAACACATACAGTATTTTACTCATAGATAGATAACATGATAACTGAACAGAGAAAGAAAAAAAAAAAAAACA